GTTCACCCGCCGCTGTGAAGGAGCGATTTCAGTATTCCTGAACGAATCACATTGACGGAACCGAACGGAGACATTCTCGAGCAGCCTAGAATTCATCTCACGGCAGCAAGTCCGTCCATTTTCACCCATCATTCAGTCCTTTCCTAGTCCACGGGTAGCGGGCGAGCTTAACGGAAGATGCGACCCGAATATAATTTCCGGGCAGCGAGAAATGAGCTTGCTGCTCAAAACCTCCGTGAATTTAGATGAACGAGCCGTAAAGTTGTCAACCGACAGTACAGGGCTTCGAGGCTCGGCTTGGAGCAGGAAGCTCGGACTACACCTATTTGCGGGCCAAATGCCGGGCTTCGAGGTTCGGCTTGGAGCAGCAGCCTCGGCCTCCCCCTACTGGCTGGCCAAATCCTCGTGGTTTGGCTCCTCGTATTGAGCAGAGCCAGAGCACTTTTCGGAGTGCTTTTTTTTTTTTCGTCTTTCTTCTCTGTTCGGGCAGCAGGCTCCTTCCTCTGTAGCCTCGAGAGCTGCTTCCCTCCCCCCGAGCTCCATTCACAATCTCCTTCCCAACACTACAAAGCCCAGCTGTCCTCCCCATTCCCACCGCCGCAGCAGTTGAAATCTCATTCTTTCTTCGACTCTTATTCTCCTCGAGTCTTCGATCAGCTTCGTCTCCTAGCTTTCTCAATCGTGCCGTGTGATTAGCCTCTCGTTCTTACCGCTATGGCATCTCGGATCCCTCCGTATCTTGCTGGATCTGCGCGCCGCGCTAACATCTTGAAGATGTGGCGGCACGCAATCGCGGTGCGCGTGGGACGCTTTAACGAGGTAGAGCAGTGCGCTGTGCGCTCCCCCCGTGCGTCGCTCGGCTTCTCCCCTCTGCGACCCAAGCCCGTGGCTAAGCCGCCCAGCAAGAAGCCCAGGCCCAGGGATGTGATGGGTACCGCTGCTGCTGTGAAGCCCAGAGCGGTGCACAGCGGTCAAGCGACCGTCGCAGCTGCAGCAACCAAAGCCACGCGAGCTAGTAAGGCGACACCAGCTAAGGCGACGGAAGCTAAGGCGGCGCTAGCTAAGGTGACTCCAGTCAAGGCGACGCCAACTAAGGCGATGCCAGCTAAGGTGACGCCAGCCAAAGCGACGACAACTAAGGCGACGCCAGTTAAGGGGGCGCTAGCTAAGGGGACGCCAGCCAAGGCGACGCCAGCTAAGGCGGCGCCAGCTAAGGCGGCGCCAGTTAAGGCGACGCCCGCTAAGGTGACACCAGCTAAGGCTACGTCGCCAGCTACGACGGCACGTGAAAACTCCACAGCCGCAGTAGGTGTGAAGGCTGCAGGTGCAATCAGCCCAGCAGCAGCAGCCGCGGCAGCAGCTCCCCACAGCTCGATTGGCGGGTCTGGAATCCCTAAACCTGCAAGCAGCGCGTCAACAAGGAGGGTTGCAGCAGGTGCGACCGCGAGTGGCATTCCCAAGCCAGGAAAGGTAGCAGCCAAGTGAAGGCGTGAAAAAAAAAGAAAAAGAAAAAGAAAAAATAAAAATAGCAGCAGCAGCAGATGGGATGTAGGGATGAGGATGTGAAGGGAAAAGTGTAGTGGGTTAGATGGCATGGCTGGTGGGGGCGAGAGGGAGGTGCATGGAGGGACTTACCCCTTTTTCCACCCTGCTTGCAGGGTGTTGTGGGAGAGATGGGAGGAGAGGTGGAGGAATGTGGTGAGCTGGAATGGGGAGGCATGGCATGAGGGGGAAGAGCATGCCCTTGGATCTACTGCTGCATGGCATGTGATGTCATTCTGCTAGATCCGTTGCTGCTCACTTGCCTGGCCCTTGAATGCTCTTGAATCCGATGCTGCACCGTGCACCAGCTAGGCTCTAGCGTAGTAGCAAGTTGTAGATTATTATCAATTGTGTTCTTAGGTCTCTTGCTTGTAGTCGTTCATGCTATATTTATATGTATGCTGTTGATGTTCATTCTGTGCTTGGTGTGTTGCGACTGATTGGTGCATGAAGGGAGGAATGGTTGGTGGGTGTATTCGTGTGGTGGATGGGTGAAGAAGGCATGGGTTAAGAAGGCAAGGGTTAAGAAGGCATGGGTAAAGTGACTTGATGGTTCTGGCGCTGAGTGTGGTTCATGCTGGGGAATGATCATGCTGACTTGATCAATGGCAGTATTTTTCTTGTTCTTCTCCCTCCTTTCAAGATATGAACAGTTTTTATGCTTGAACCAACCCAGGGTTAAATGTCTTCCAATTTACCAACACGTGCTGCTTGGTGGGTATTTTCATTCCACTTTTACTGCCTCCTGCTGCTCTCACCATTTCCTCCCAGAGTCATCAGCTCATGGCGTGTCCACTGTCTCATTCCGATTTTATCACCTCCTCATTTGCTTAGTCTCTCATGGCATGCAATCAGCTCATGATGCTTTTCAGTGGATCGTGCTAGTCTCATTTGACCATGAGCTCATAACACCCCCACATCTCTTTCCCCCATCCCTCCGCCCCTCCCCTTTGTTCATCTCTCTGAGGCTTGAGAGTATTCATGATTGTTTAGAGAATCCAGAATATTCCTATTGTTTTCACATCAGCCAACATCAGTTGCTGTTGCGTTGTGCTTTTGTATTTGCTTTGACGGGGCGGTTGCATACGATCCTGCGTTGCATACCAGTCTCATCAACTCGTGATGCTTTCAGTGACACTTTGTAATTTTGATGCTGTGAGGGAGTGGTGCATAGGAGGGAGGGCCGGTGAGGTGTGTTTGGGCACAGGGGGGGAGAAGTAGGGAGGAGTGGTTGTGCAGGGATGTGGAGAATCCTCGTGCTCACTTGCTCTTTGTGAAGCCTGTCAGGTCATTCCCCTTCAAGTGCTGAAAATGAACCTTAGTATTGCCTTTGCCGCCCTTTGTTCTATTATCTCCTGTGTTCTCTTTTTGTTCGAAAAACAATTTCCTTTTTTGTCTATGGTGCCCTACCAGTCAGTGTCCATAGTTCCAGTGCTCACCTCTTTGCCCTTTTCAAGTTTCTACACTCAATTCACGCTGTCTGTGTACACAACTCCCCTCCTGCCCGCCCGCTCAACTTCCTGTCCTTTCACTTAACTATCAACTTTCACCACTCTTCGCATCTTTAAAACGGTAGATGTTTCAGAGTCCCCTCTTGATGCCTAACTGCACCTATGTGAGAAAGTCAAGGAACTTGCTGGAATTACCATATTCCTCCCAACCCTGCTTGCTTTTTCAGACCGCCCCTCTTTATTTTCTGACGGTTGGCCATCAGGTGATGTCTGTAAACAATTATCTCTAATTGGTGTTGCTTTCCCAGTCAATATTCATAGTGCCAGTGCCTCCCTCTCTGCCCTTTTCAACCCTCACTACCTCCTTCCGCTTTCAATCATCTGAAAGTCAGCCAGCAGTGATGCTGTCAGCACCCCTGGCTGTTTACACCATTTTCACATCAACTGCAGTCTCTTATGAGGGTGTAGCTGATATTAGAAAATTGTTTGTACTTAATTCCAGTTTATCTTCCTTCTGAGGCTTTCAGCATTTCGTGCCAGTTTCAGGAGATCAAGATGTTTTCAGTCCAGTCTCAACAATGCTCTCAGGTTCTCATGTCCAATTTCTCCAGCCAAGGCTGTTTTTAGTGTCTCATATTCATCTCATCAGCTCTGCTTTTCATCAGCTCCCGATTCTTTTTGTAGCTCTTGTCATGTCATCATCACGTCATGCCGTAAGTATCTCATGCAAATTTCAGCAGCTCCTGATGTGTTCAGTTTCTCATGCCAAGATCGTCTGCTCATCATGCCTTTCCAGTACTTGCCAACTTCATCAAGTCGCAGACCTATCCGTATCTCCTTCCAATATGATAAGCTCATGATGTTTGCAGCAGCAGCTCATGCCAGTTCAATCTGCACTCGTGGTTTCAGCATCTATTCCTACCTAGTTCATCTGCTCATCATGCTTTGAGCATTTCATGGCAACTTCGCTAGCCGATGGCGCATTCACTATCGCATCCTCTTTCAGTTTTTCATGGCAGCCTCTTCAGCTGATGGTGCCATCATTGTTTCATTCCTATTTCATCAGCTCATAAATATTTCGTGGTGTTTTGTGTTGCTTCTAATGAGTCCAGTACCAACTCATGCTGAACTCATCAGCTCATGATGATGCTTGCTGGTTTCAGGATACCTACCAAGCCAATCAAGCTCACCCGCTCATGATTCTTGCAGCGTCTAAAGAATTCTTCAGCTGATATTGCTGTCACACATGGTGCCAACTCTATTGGCTCAGGATGCTTGCAGTTCTCGTGCCAGCTTTTTTATCACAAGTGACCTTAAGCGGTTCATCATGAAATGCTATCATTCTTAAATGAGAGATTGTTTCCCCACAATTTCTAGGTTAACTTGGACATTGCAGAGCTACGTTGAAAACAGCAGTCTTGATAAGGTGTGAATCGGGAAAGTTTCACGGTATCAAGTTCTTATGAAACATAAATTTTCATATCGTTAACAAATCTGCAAATATCGCACCTCTTGTTCATCTTTTTCTTTCCCGCCATTCTTGGACAGCTGCCAGACGGAACCCCAGTTTCTCGGGGGCAGCTTGCAAGAAGCATACTCGCGAGCCGCGTTTCCTGACGGAACCCTGGTTTGTGACGCAGGCTCCGTCTCAGACGCGTTTGCCCCCGCCGCTGTGCGGCGACTTTAGCACTCTATTGACGATGACAGGAACGGAACGATTCTTTGAGCAGCCCTGGTCTCGTCTCACGACAGCAAATCCGTCAAGTTCACCCATCATCCAGTCAACACACCACCAGACCCCCCCTTTTCGCGGATAAACCACTTCCTCATGCTCGGGCAGCGGGAGAGCTTAGCGGAAATGCGACTTGAAATATTTTTTGCTGCCCCGAATTCTCGTCGTCCGAAGCGAAAGAGTCGCTGCTGCTGTCCTACGACATCGAAGTTCCGCTCCCAAGCCTCCAGAGGTTCGGCTCTAACCAAACCAAAGCTGATCTTCCCCCCCACCATATGTTTCGGAGTGTTTGCTCGTCTCGGTTCGGGCAGCGGGCTCGCCTCCTTCGGAGTCTCGAGAATCGCTCTTCGCCAGTCGAGCTCCATCCACTCTTCCCTCGCCTTAGAACCTCCCTTTCCAACAATACAAAGCCCACCTGTTCTCGCCATTTCCACCACCACAGCTGTTGCAATCTCAATATCTCTTCGACTCTTCTTCTAGCTCCTTCGATCAGCTTCAGGTTTTACCTTCGCCTCTCGTTTGTCCTCTGCGATTACCCTACCGCTATGGCATCTCGAATCCCCCGCGCAGCTAACATCTTGAAGATGTGGCGGCATGCGATTGCAGTGCGCGTGGGACGCTTTAACGAGGTAGAGCAGTGCGCTGTGCGCTCCCCCCGTGCGTCGCTCGGCTTCTCCCCTCTGCGACCCAAGCCCGTGGCTAAGCCGCCCAGCAAGAAGCCCAGGCCCAGGGATGTGATGGGTACCGCTGCTGCTGTGAAGCCCAGAGCGGTGCACAGCGGTCAAGCGACCGTCGCAGCTGCTGCAGCGAAATCCACGCGAGCTAGTAAGGCGACACCTGCTGAGGCGACGCCTGCTGAGGCGACGCCAGCTGAGGCGACGCTTAAGGCGACGCCAGTTAAGGTGACTCCAGTGAAGGCGACGCCAACTAAGGCGACGCCAGCTAATGCGACGCCAGCTAAGACGACGCAAGCCAAGGCGACGCCAGCCAAGCTGTCGCAAGCCAAGCTGTCACCAGCTAAGGCGACGCCAGCTAAGGTGACATCAGCTAAGGTGACGCCAGCAGAACCAGCTAAGACGGCACCAGCCAAGGCGACACGTGCAAGCCCTACTGCCGTAGTAGGTGTGAAGGCTGCAGGTGCAAGCAGCCCAGCAGCAGCAGCCGCAGCAGCAGCCGCAGCAGCAGCTCCTTTCACCGTGAAGGCGGGCCTTGTTGGCGGGTCTGGAATCCCCAGACCTGCAAGCAGTGCGTCAACAAGGAGGACCGCAGCTGGAGCTACGGCAAGTGGCGTTCCGAAGCCAGGGAAGGTAGTAGCCAAGTGAAGGAGTGAAAAAAAAAAAAAAAAAAAAAAGGAGAAAAAAGAAAACGAAAAAAAGAGAGAAGAAAGTAAGAAAAGAGAAACGAAGGACAAAAAAAATATGCAGCAGCATCAGATGGGATCCTGGTCATGTTCAATGGGGATTTGAAGGGACAAATGTGGTGGGCGAGACAGCATGGCTGGTGGGGGCTAGAGGGAGGTGCATGGAGGGACTTACCCCTTTTTCCACCCTGCTTGCAGGGTGTTGTGGGAGAGATGGGAATATGGAAAGGTGGAGGAATGTGGTGAGCTGGAATGGGGAGGCATGGCATGAGGGGGAATGACATGCCATTGGATCTGAATACTTGTGCTGACTGTGTGCTTCAAGGGGAATGCTCATGCTGACTGTGTCATCTGTTGCTGCACCGTGCACCTGCTTGGCTCATGAACAGTAGAATATGTTCTAGATACTTATTGTTTAGGTCTAAGCCCTTTGTTCTAGGTCTGTAGCTTGTAGTCGTTGATGTCATATTTATATGTATGCTGTTGATGTGCATTCTGTGCTTGTGTGTTGTGTTGCGACTGAGTGGTGCATTGAAGGGAGGAATGGTTGGTGGGTGGGTGTAATCGTATGGATGCGTGAAGCAGGGAGAAGCAGTTTGATAGTTCTTGCAGTGGCTGTGGTTTCAGTGGAATGCGCATGCTGACTTGCTCAGCAGAGGAGGGGTGAAGCAAGGAGAAGTGATGAGCACGTGTGTGTGGTGGAAAATCATCATCAGGTTTGTGTAATGATCCTCATCAGCTGATGCTCTTTGTTTCATTACCTCCAGCTTCAAGCAATTTCATTTCTGTTCGGAAACGCATTTCTTGCTCGAGTTTATGTTGCCCTGCCATTCTAGTCTGCAGGGGATTCACTCAGACTCCCCTCACGGCCTGCCCTCATTCAAAAGAACTTAGGTAATACGAGATTTCCTTGTCTCCGCGTTTTCTTAACAAATCCCTTTTTCATCCTCCCCACCTCCCCTCTCGTATGCATCCATGATGCTCCGCTCTCATCCCTCGATTGCTCGTTCAATTGGAAATCATGTTGAGGGGATACCTGATTGCATATGTCGTGGAACCTGGTAATATTGTTTTCACTTCATATGCTCTCATTCCTCGCTTTCAGGAGGCATGTCTTGCTTACATATGCTTCTTCAGCAGATGATTACATTCAGTATCTCATGCCAATTTGATCTGCTCATCATGCTTTCCAGCTCTTGCCAGTTTCATCAAGTCACAATATCTTGTTCCAATTTGACAAGTTTACCATACGATGTCTGCAGTGCCAGTTCAACCAGTGCCTGATGGTTTCAGTATCTATTCCAAGGTCACCTGCTCATGATGCTTTCAGCATTTCATGGCAACTTCGCCAGCTGATGGCGCATTTGTTCACTATCGCATGCGCTTTTAGCAACTCATGACAGTCTCTTCAGCTGATGATGCCATCAATATCGCATTCTGATTTTTTCACTTCATGATTATCTCCTGGCATTTTCAGTTGCTAGGGTCGGTTCTGCTGTTGCCACACCCTGGGTTTCTTTAATTGGTATATCCAGTAGTTGAAACACTTGCAATAAAGGAGCACAATTGTTTCCTTGTGGTATATTCCCCTCCCCATACCTGGTTCCCACCCAGCCATTGTCTGTTTAGACCATTGCATCCCCAGCACCACGAGTTTGTTTAAACCCTCTTCGACTCACAAGATAAATGAACAAACCCAGTGTTTATTCATATGCTCTGTCCAGCTGATACTCTGTAAAGAATCTCACAATTTGAGTGTACACGTCTGTAACAACCGGAGTGGCGAACAGGAAATCCAGGTGTGCATAAGCTGGCATGTAAAGCACCTCGGGTCGTCGTGCCAGCTTGGAAATGAGCCATTCCACGTCAGCAGGCACTGCAAGGGAGTCTCTACCACCATACGCTATAGCGAGCCGTGTAGTAGAGGGCAAATCCGAGGCACGGAAGAATGGCGGTGTGCTTTGACAGTATCGCAGCCAGTTCTTAATGAATCCGTAGTCAAACTGCTTCCACTCTCCCGAGCGAACCACTGGGACAGAGGAAATCAGGAGAGATTGTACACACGGCCAAATAAAAAGAAACAATATGCAGAGGTTGTGGAATCAGGGAAATGTCATCAGCAGGGACTATGAATAGAAGATAAGAGGTTTAATGTCGCATGGTGAGCAATCTCTGATGGGAACATTAGCAAGGCACTGGGTGGTGGAGCAGAGCAGAGACTTACACTGCTGTAAAACAAAGAAGCAAAACATAAGGCGCTAGTGCTTACTCTGGCCGAAATGAGCCATGTTCTTGACAGAGGACGCGAGAGGGAACCAGGGAACCAGCTTGGCAAAGTGCCGGATGTCAATGCAGCAGTTGGGACCTGCGCGAGGAAATTGAGTGAGTGCATTGGACGGAAACAGAAGGTCAGTGCAATGAGCTTGACAAGGACGTGAGAGGGAACCAGGGGACAGGCTTGGCAACATAACGGATGTCAATGCACCAGTTGGGTTGGTGGTGAGGAAGGGAAGTGGTAAGGTGCATGCCTGTGAATGCGGAGAGCAGGGAGGAGCAGTTGATGCGAGGAGAGGCACAGGCAGTGGCCACCACTAGCTCGCCCAACGCACTGGTGAGAGGAAGTAAGGGACAGGACACACATGGAAGGTCACACAGTGAGAAGAGTGAGAAGGGCCATGAGTGTGGCTCAGGAAGTGGGCAGCTGGGGTGGCAACCACCAGCTCGGCCAACGCAGTGGTTACAGTCACAGGCAGGGGTGGGGTGGCATATGGAGGGGCCCGGGGCCCCCAAATTAAGTGGGCATGGGAGGGTGGCACAGTCACAGCAACAACCACTCACAGTAGCAACACCAGCTCGCCCAACGCATTGGTTACAGTAACAGGCAGGGGTGGGGTGGCATATGGAGGGATTACAGTCACAGGCAGGGGTGGCATACTGAGGGGCCCATATTCAGTACCTACAGTCACCATGAATGTACCCACAGGAAGGAGAGTGGCACATTGCTAATGGTGAGCTGTATCATATGCAGCCCTTGCAGCACTCACGTCCCTTATTGGCATATCAGGGCGACGCAATTCTAGTCTTCGCATCACCCATGCATGCATCACCCATGCATGCAGCACCCGTGCAGCACCCGTGCAGCACCCATGCATCACCCATGGAGCACCCATGCATCACCCATGGAGCACCCATGCATCACCCATGGAGCACCCATGCATCACCCATGGAGCACCCATGCATCACCCATGGAGCACCCATGCATCACCCATGGAGCACCCATGCATCACCCATGGAGCACTCACTTGCGCAGGCTGAACTCGTGAAGGCGCGTTGCCCTCACCAGCTGGAAGGACAGCGGAACGGGGGAGGAGAGAGGGGTGGAGAGGGGGGAAAGGGAGGAGAGCGGAGGTGAGGGGTTTGGAGTTGGGAGAGTGAAGTAGAGGGGCGAGGAGAGACGAGAAGGGGACAAAAAGGAGGGGAATGAGGGTGATGTCATGGAGTGGAGAGAGAGCGGGTGGACGGGGTCTTTCAGACCTGCTAGGGCCTCTTATCTAAAAAGTGGGGAAAGAGAGAGGAGGGAGAGGAAGGGACAAAGGGAGGGAGTGGCAGGACGAATGAAGGGGACAAAGGGAGGGGAGTGAGAGTGACGGAATGGAGTGGAGTGGAGGGAGAGCGAAGGGATGAAGTTCATGTGGCCCGCCGACGGAAGGGAGAGCCGACGGGGAGGAGAGACGAGAGGAGCGGCGGAGAAGAGAGTTTGGAAGGGAAAGGGAGAGCGTGAGGCTGTCCACTGTTGGCATAGAGGGTGGAGGAGACATGGTGTGATGCATACTGACGGCCTTTTTGAAAGGTATGAGAGCACGAGCATGAGATGTGGGTACAAGCATACGAGAGCTATATGTGGGTCATCACACCTAGGTATGCCCAGGGGAGAGAAGAAGAGCGAATACTGGGAATTTAAGTGGTTTGAATCACAAAAGTGAGGTGACAGGGGTGGGTGAGTAGGAAAAGGAAGCCACGAAGGCAGAATGTGCAGCCAGTGACCGTGCATGTCAGGAGCTTAAGGACGGTTCCGATTGAAAGCACCTCACCCGGTCTAGGTCGAGCGGCTTAAATTTCTCACCCGGTCTAAATCAAGCTTGGCTGCCTCGTGAGCGATGGGTGAAGAGAGGTGTGCGAGGGAGGTGACAGGGGCGAGCAAGAAGGCAGCAGCGACGGTAGCAGGTGGGAGGTAGCCGGCAGTGAGGGCGGAGAGGAAGGTGAGCGTGCCCTGAGAGAGAGAGAAGGAATGGTGGGGAAAGAAGGGGGAAGAAGGGGGAAAGAAGGGGGAAGAAGGGCGAAAAAGGGGGAAGAAGGGGGACGAACGGGAAATAAACAGGAGGAATGAAGAATGAGGAGGAATGGAGTGGGCGGTGAGCGAGCAGGAAGTGACGGGTTGAGGAGAATGAAGAAGAGAGAGGCAAGAAACATGGCATGCACTGAAGCGGGCATGAAGAGGCCGTGTGCTGGTGCACAGAAGCACACCAGCACAGAGGACCAGTCACATGGCAGCACACCAGCGCACGGTGGCACAGCAGCGTGAGGAAGGTGGGAGGCCAGGAGAGAAGCAATCAATCTGTGCTGACAGGCCGTGTGGCAAGGCAAGGCAAGCAACGCACTGCGAGTGCCCTACATACCACACCTAGTGTACCTGCGAGAGGCAAGCAACGCACCTCGAGAGGCAAGCAACGCACCTGCGAGAGGCAAGCAACGCACCTGCGAGAGGCAAGCAACGCACCTCGAGAGGCAAGCAACGCACCTGCGAGAGGCAAGCAACGCACCTCGAGAGGCAAGCAACGCACCTCGAGAGGCAAGCAACGCACCTGCGAGAGGCAAGCAACGCACCTCAAGAGGCAAGCAACGCACCTGCGAGAGGCAAGCAACGCACCTGCGAGAGGCAAGCAACGCACCTCGAGAGGCAAGCAACGCACCTGCGAGAGGCAAGCAACGCACCTCGAGAGGCAAGCAACGCACCTGCGAGAGGCAAGCAACGCACCTCGAGAGGCAAGCAACGCACCTGCGAGAGGCAAGCAACGCACCTCGAGAGGCAAGCAACGCACCTGCGAGAGGCAAGCAACGCACCTGCGAGAGGCAAGCAACGCACCTGCGAGAGGCAAGCAATGCACCTGCGAGAGGCAAGCAACGCACCTCGAGAGGCAAGCAACGCACCTGCGAGAGGCAAGCAACGCACCTCGAGAGGCAAGCAACGCACCTCGAGAGGCAAGCAACGCACCTGCGAGAGGCAAGCAACGCACCTCGAGAGGCAAGCAACGCACCTGCGAGAGGCAAGCAACGCACCTCGAGAGGCAAGCAACGCACCTCGAGAGGCAAGCAACGCACCTCGAGAGGCAAGCAACGCACCTCGAGAGGCAAGCAACGCACCTGCGAGAGGCAAGCAACGCACCTCGAGAGGCAAGCAACGCACCTCGAGAGGCAAGCAACGCACCTCGAGAGGCAAGCAACGCATCTCGAGAGGCAAGCAACGCACCTCGAGAGGCAAGCAACGCACCTCGAGAGGCAAGCAACGTACCTGGGAGAGACAAGGGACGCACCTGCGAGTGCCCCACGTAGAACACCTGCCTCTCTCCCGTGTGAGAGGCTGTCAGGATGTAGTCGATCTGATCGTTGAGTCGACTCAAAGCCACCTGATTGTAATGTCACAAGGGACGCACCTGCGAGTGCCCCACGTAGAACACCTGCCTCTCTCCCGTTTGAGAGGCTGCCAGGATGTAGTCGATCTGATCGTTGAGTCGACTCAAAGCCACCTGATTGTAATGTCACAAGGGACGCACCTGCGAGTGCCCCACGTAGAACACCTGCCTCTCTCCCGTTTGAGAGGCTGCCAGGATGTAGTCGATCTGATCGTTGAGTCGACTCAAAGCCACCTGATTGTAATGTCACAAGGGACGCACCTGCGAGTGCCCCACATACCACACCTAGTGCACCTGCGAGAGGCAAGCAACGCACCTCGAGAGGCAAGCAACGCACCTGCGAGAGGCAAGCAACGCACCTCGAGAGGCAAGCAACGCACCTCGAGAGGCAAGCAACGCACCTGCGAGAGGCAAGCAACGCACCTGCGAGAGGCAAGCAACGCACCTCGAGAGGCAAGCAACGCACCTGCGAGAGGCAAGCAACGCACCTCGAGAGGCAAGCAACGCACCTCGAGAGGCAAGCAACGCACCTGCGAGAGGCAAGCAACGCACCTCGAGAGGCAAGCAACGCACCTGCGAGAGGCAAGCAACGCACCTCGAGAGGCAAGCAACGCACCTCGAGAGGCAAGCAACGCACCTCGAGAGGCAAGCAACGCACCTCGAGAGGCAAGAAACGCACCTCGAGAGGCAAGCAACGCACCTCGAGAGGCAAGCAACGCACCTGGGAGAGACAAGGGACGCACCTGCGAGTGCCCCACGTAGAACACCTGCCTCTCTCCCGTGTGAGAGGCTGTCAGGATGTAGTCGATCTGATCGTTGAGTCGACTCAAAGCCACCTGATTGTAATGTCACAAGGGACGCACCTGCGAGTGCCCCACGTAGAACACCTGCCTCTCTCCCGTTTGAGAGGCTGCCAGGATGTAGTCGATCTGATCGTTGAGTCGACTCAAAGCCACCTGATTGTAATGTCACAAGGGACGCACCTGCGAGTGCCCCACGTAGAACACCTGCCTCTCTCCCGTTTGAGAGGCTGCCAGGATGTAGTCGATCTGATCGTTGAGTCGACTCAAAGCCACCTGATTGTAATGTCACAAGGGACGCACCTGCGAGTGCCCCACGTAGAACACCTGCCTCGCTCCTGTGTGAGAGGCTGCCAGAATGTAGTCGATCTGTGCTGGCAGGACGAGTGGCAAGCACCGCACCTGGGAGAGACAAGAGACGCACCTGCGAGTGCCCCACGTAGAACACCTGCCTCGCTCCCGTGTGAGAGGCTGCCAGGATGTAGTCGATCTGCGCTGGCAGGTCATGGCGTGCCATGTCCGCCCACGTCCACTCCCAGTACTCCTGCATGCATGGAGAGGCGTGCATGTGTGCGCACACGCGATGGCATGAGAGGACATGAGACGGCATGAGAGGACATGAGACGGCATGAGAGGACATGAGACGGCATGAGAGGACATGAGAGGACATGAGATAGCAGGTCTCTCAATGGCAGGTCATGGTGTGCCATGTCCGCCCACGTCCACTCCCAGTACTCCTGCGCGCATGGATTGAGAGGCGTGCATGTGTGCGCACATGAGATGCCAGGTCAGGTACTTGCACTGGCAAGTCATGGCGGGCCATGTCCGCCCACGTCCACTCCCAGTACTCCTGCATGCATGGATGGAGAGGCGTGCATGTGTGCGCATACGCTATGGCATGAGAGGACATGAGACGGCATGACATTGCAGGTCAGGTCTCTGAATGGCAGGTCATGGCGGGTCATGTCCGCCCACGTCCATTCCCTGTACTCCTGCATGGAATGAGGGGGGACGTGGAAGGAGTGCAAGGGTTGGGGATGGCATGGCATGTGCTGCTACTCGAGTCGAGCTCTCAACTTGCGGACCACGTGATAGTAAACTGTTCTGAGACGTCTCAAAAACAAATTACTATCAAGGAGAGGCATGGCATGGGCTGCTGCTACTCGAGCTCTGAACTTGCCGACCTGCACCTGCTGTTGAAGCGCCTCAAACATCAACCCTCCCCTCCCGTGCACCCACTTCCCTCCCTTCCCCCTTCCCCCCGCCCTCCCCTCCTCCCCCCCACCTTATCCTTTGGCTGCCACCTCGTGTGTCCGTAGCTCCACGGCCCACACCTGCTGTTGCCGAGCCACACCTCGAAGCCGAGCCTCGCAAGCAGGAACGGCAGGGAGATGCCAGGAGGGCCCACAACCCAGCTCTCGGCTCCCTGGCAATGGGCGTGGGTGGGGAGGAAAGTGGCTTTTGAGTCGACTCAAAAGTCAACTTGCCAGGAAGGCCCACAACCCAGCTCTCGGCTCCCTGGCAAGTGGTGTGGGTGGGGAGGGAAGTGATGGTATGCAACATGCACGTAACTTCTGAGTCGCCTCAACACATGTTGGATGGGAATTATGCAGCAAGGACGAGAGACTGATGGAACGTGCACTGGTATGTGTGGCGGGGAGGGGGAGGGAAGCGCACTGTGCGTGTGAATGTGATGCGGATGATGTGTGTGTGATAGAGAGGAGAGGAGATGCGTGGTATGGTGATAAGGGGACGTGCAAAAGCAAGGCGAGGGCGTGTGGAATAATAACATTCAGCTACACCTGATTCTACCCTGGACGAACCAGAAACAGCCCGTGCTGTATCAGCACCGGACCTCGAGAAACGACCCTCCCATTTCCCCCGCTCGTTTTATTCACATCAAAAACAGCTCCACTCGCGTCCAACTGGCGACTTGTCACACGCTGGAGGCCTAAAACGAAGCCATCCCGTGTTACCACCTGCCACCAACGAGGATAAAGTGATAAATATCATTATCAGGACTGTCCAAAACACCGGAGGGAAGTCAATAGATATGATAATATTGTAAGCCATTATCCATGTGTACACGGATTTCAAGTAGCTACCGTTCTCACGTATGACTCTGAGGAGAGTGGATATTGTACAGCAGACAGGCAGGTGAGCAACTTGAGATGCGAAGCTGGAACAGATTCTAGAGGGAATATTTCACGAATAACTTGTAAGAACAATTAATGAAACCAAGTTCCTGCTGCACGAATTACATCAACAAGTTATGACAAATAACCTTCTCGTTAATCTCACACGATTGAGAGAAATTTCTCGTACAACGAGCGCTCGTTACACTCACACGGTGATCCTCGCACGTGAAGCCATTCGGCTCCACCAACTCGCGGCACACGCGCGAAGCATCATCGTCTCCTGTTGAATTTGAGAAATATTTTGAACGGTCAGGATCTTGATATGCAGCTTTCGAGGCGCGGGATGAACTGTCCTCGTCGGCGGTTGATGTAGTACAGGAGACCCTCGAGATTGACGACAGAGCGAGAACTGAGAGGAGAATAAGCGGAACGAGTCGCGAGGTCCGCGGAAAGAAAAGACGAACGCGACACAACTGCGAAACGTTTCTCAGCGAGTGGAAGCAGGAGAGGAGCGCCATGTGTGATTTCTGTCAAATTCCTTTACCACCTCCTAATCTTGTGTGAAGCCTACTGCAAGCGCTTTCTAAACTGCCTGGGGGGTTGGAAAGCGGCTGAGCCGCCGCAATGACACAATTTGTACTCATTATGTCTGATGCGATAACAGCACAAACGGCAACCCGACAGGCGTGATAAACTATCTTGTTTGAGAGGTTCGAAACGGTATGCAACCATTACAGTACGGTTCCTGCCAGCAAACCTCGAGGGAAGTTTGTGGTGGGCGAAATCTCGTTACTAGCTTCTCCAAACACAGAATCGATCAAGCGTCGTGTATAATGCGAATGAACAATACTGTCTAAGCTAGGCCGCAATTTCCGCCTTACTGTTTCCAAAACGCCAAACCCCGAAGCCTAGGGTTTCAAACCGAAACCAACCAATCAAAACGCACCATTACATTATCCGCTCCTTGGAATTATCTTCACCACCTTCACGCCTTCTCTTCATCTCTCCAATCTAGCTGCAAGCATTTCTGCCTCAAGCGAACATTTGTTTCCCCTAACTCGCTCTAGAGTGGCACAATCTCGCTCGAATTACAATTGATAACTCCGTCAACCAAGCTCGCAATATTGACTGCCGCTGGCCAATAACTTCTTGCCACCTGTGCAGTCATTAGTGCCTTTATTTCCGACTATCCACCTTTCTGTAGATCCTAACATCTACTGCTAACAGCATTTTTTTTGGAAAGTTGATATTTTGGGAACTAGGTTATTGGAAAAATGCACTGGGAGAAAATAGAGATCAAGGTGAAGCGTCAAGAGCCCATCCCAGGCAAATCGCCGGGGAGGAAAGGCGGCAAGCACGGTCCAGGGAGGAAATGGGGTCACACGTTAAATGCCGTCAACTATGGTCGTCAGGTGTACGTCTTCGGAGGTTATGGCAAGGACGAACGGCAGACAAACGACGTCTACGTGTACAACACAAGTACGATCGCGTCGTCGTAAAGTCGTCCTCCCGTCTAGCTAGCCTCACGATCTGTTTTGCGTTTGTTTCATGTTCCCGCTGAGGAGAAAAGGGTTCATTGAAGTGCGGGAAGGCTCGAGCCTTACGAGATCGTTACAATGCGGGTAGGCAGAGGCGTTAACGAGATCACGACGATGCGGGAAGGCTGGAGTATATCGGGATGGTTAGGTTGCGAGAATGCAGAGTCGTTAACGGGATCATGACAATGCGGGATCGTGACAATGCGGGAAGGCAAGACGAAGAGAGGTATTACGGCGAGATCATGACAATGCGCTTGGCCTTTTCAAAGAACTTTCTACATTCGTTCATGGCACCGCGATTTAGGCTCACGCGAGGGTTGAACGGCCTTGCAGACCCTTTTCCTTCAGCATGACCGGCGACGTTTGCTGTTCCAAAGTCGGTCCATCTCCCTCTCGTAGTATGCGCTTAAGTCAAACCAATCGCGGATTCTCGTGCTCCTGCATTGTATTTCCTTTCCCGTCTCGAAACCTCCGTTTTTTCGCGACAGCCGCGGCCGGCTGGTGGCAATCTGTCCGTCTGTCATGGCCTTTTGGTATTCTCTTGCGTGGATCCAGCGAAACATCATAGGCTCCCCGCCGTTCTCCTCGCGAGAGTTTTGAGGCGTCTCAGCACGTGTCATTCATGCTCGCCATTCCTTTCCCCTCTCCCTTTCCCCTTCCCTTTCTGTCCGGGACTCGCAGCCAAGGATGCATGGAGCAAGCCGAACATCAAGGGCACGCCGCCGTCGCCTCGCGACAGCTTGGGGCGTCCTAACACCCGTCGTTCATTCTCTGTATCACCCCCTTTCATCCCAACCTCGTTTTCGACCTATCCGCGACTCACAGCCAAGGACGCGTGGAGCAAGCCGAACATCAAGGGCACGCCGCCGTCGCCGCGCGACAGTTATGAGGCGTCTCAACACCTGACGTTCATTCACTCTTGCTATCCCCACCACCCTTGCGTTTTGTCCGCGATTCACAGCCAAGGACGCGTGGAGCAAGCCGAACATCAAGGGCACGCCGCCGTCGCCGCGCGACAGCCACACGAGCACGGTGGTGGGCAGCAGGCTGTTCGTCTTCGGCGGCACGGATGGGTCGTCGGGGCTCAACGACCTCTACATGCTCGACACCTGTGAGTGCCGCTCCGTGGCGACTCCTTAGCGACTTGTTGATGGCGATAATTGTGGCAGCTTTGTATGTGCGGCCACTCGAGCATGGTCGTCAGGGCTCAACGACCTCTACATGCTCGACACCTGTGAGTGCCACGCCTGGCGATATGTTGGACGAACCATTAGCGACTAAGTTCGTGGCGTTTTTTTGCCGACTCTAGTATGAACAGCCACACGAGCGCTCCTGGGAGTCCCGTTACCCGTATCTCAGCGCCAAATCGGGTGGGAGTCGAGCATGAAGGCATGGAATGCCAAGCGACAAATCCAAGGGCACTCGGTCTCGCATCATCTTCAAACCCTTTCAACGCAATCGCGTTTCTGTGTGTCATGCACAGCCCTTTTTTCGCTTGTACTGAACTGCACTTTCCGTACGGCTCCCATCATTCTCGTGCAGGGCCTCTTATCGCATCCCTCTGGTCCATTATGCCAATCTGCTTCAGTCCCTTGCAGCCAGATTCCCTCTTTCCCTCATACGCCCGCTCTTCATTTATGTCCCCCTCTTTTCCCTCTTTGGTGCCTGGCCCAGTTCCTCGTCGCCCACCCCCCCTCTTCACCCGTTCTCCCCCTTTTCCCCGCTCTCCCTGCAGCAACCAACACGTGGACGCGCCTAGCAGCGCAGGGGGGACGTGCCAGCAGACAGCACGTGAGAGGCTTTGAGACGTCTAAACTGGCTCTCCCATCTCCGCGCTCTCCCCCTTCCCCCTCCCGTCCCCTGCAGCAACCAACACGTGGACGCGTCTGGCGGCGCAGGGGGACGTGCCAGCAGCGCGCGAGGGCCTCAAAATGTCCCACCTCTCTCTCCCCTTTTCCCCGTTCCCCGTTCTCCCCTCAACCCTCTCCCCCGCAGCAACCAACACGTGGACGCGCCTAGCAGCACAGGGGGACGTGCCAGCAGCGCGCGAGGGGCATGCAGCAGCGCGGGTGGAGGGGCTGGTGTACGTGTTCGGGGGGTGTGGAAAGGCAGGCGAGGGGGGAACGGTGGACGAGACTTACTACAACGACGTGCATGTGTTCAACCCTGGTGAGTGCGGGTAAGCAGCAGCAACACGGCTGACAGGGCGGCTGCATGGGAGGGGCATGCAGCAGCGCGGGTGGAGGGGCTGGTGTACGGGTTTGGGGGGTGTGGCAAGGCCGGCGAGGGGGGAATGGTGGACGAGACGTATTACAACGACGTTCATGTGTTCAACCCTGGTGAGTGCGATACCCAATTCAAGAAGGCAGAGGAGGGGCATACGGCAGAACGGGGCATACGGCAGAACGAGAAGTATTACAGCGACATGCATGCGTGCGACCGTGGTAAGAGCAGGTCACACATCTGATTGGGCGACAACACACCAGGGAACCCACAACCGTTTTAAGGGTTGGTGTGTGCATGTATCAAGTCTAGTTTTTTGTTTGTTTGTTTGTTTGTTTGTTTGTTTTTTACGATGGTCTGAGTACTTCCAGTCTTTTTCTTCCATGTGGTGTGCGTGCGTTCGTTTCCTATGTGTCTTTCGTGTGTTTGCATGTGGTGCGGTGCAGACACAATGCGGTGGGCACGTGTGGCGACAACGGGCACAGCACCATAACCGAAGGACAGCCACAGCTGCTGCGCGTGGGGCAATGAGCTCATTGTGTTCGTGCGTGTGTTATTTTCTTCAATGTCTTTTGCGTGTGTTTGCATGTGTGTGGTACAGACACGATGCGGTGGGCAAGGGTGGCGACAACAGGCACAGCACCATCGCCGAGGGACAGCCACAGCTGCTGCGCGTGGGGCAACCAGCTGATCGTGTTTGGCGGGGAGGACTCGCGCAATTGCTACCTCAGTGACGTCTTCGTTCTGGACACCAGTGAGTGCCTTGTGCCTTGCCTTGCCTCGACTCCAGCAGTGAGTGCCTAGCCTTGACGCCAGTAGGTAAGTGCTGTGCAGGCCCCAGTGAGTGGGGCAACCAGCTCATCGTGTTCGGCGGGGAGGACTCGCGCAACTGCTACCTCAGTGACGTCTTTGTCCTCGACACCAGTGAGTGCCTCAGTGCATTGGCTTGATACCAGTACGTAAGTGCTGTGTGAGTGGCTCTGACTATCACCAGTAGGGTAATTTTTTGTCGCTGTCCTTGACCACACTGATTCTTTTGCTGGCCATTGAGTGGAAAGCAAGGCAACGAATGAGTGTTGGCCCCCTTAGTCACCAAACTTCACTTCATTCCCGTGCCCGGCCTGCGCTGCGGCCCCTTTCCGCTGCGGCCCCTTTCCCCACTGTCTTCCAGGCTCGCTGGTGTGGAGGGAGGTGAGGGCGAGGGGGCAGAAGCCTCTACCCCGAGCAGGCCATGTGGCGGTGACGGCAGGGCGCTACATGGTGGTGTTTGGGGGCTTCACGGATGAGAGGCGCCTATTCAACGACCTCCACGTGCTTGACCTCTGTAAGCTCTCTTGCTCTCTTGCTCGCTTGCTGCTGCTCTGTATGCTTGTTTGCTGCACTTCTGTATGCTCGCTTGCTTGCTGTGGAGTCAACTCAAAAGTCACATGGTGGTGTCTGGGGGCTTCACTGATGAGCGCCGCCTTTTCAACGACCTGCACGTGCGTGCTCGACCCCTGTATGTATGCTTGCCCGTGTGCCTGCCTGCTTGCGTGCTTTCTTGGTGACCTTTGAGTCGACTCAAAAGCTTCACGGATGAGAGGCGCCTCTTCAACGACCTGCACGTGCGTGCTTGACCTCTGTGTGTTGCTATAATAGCAACCACAGTAGACTTGTGAGTTTGCACGTCATGTTATCCTCTCATTCACACGCTTCCCCCCTCTCCCCACTTTCTCGCTTGCTTGCTCTCCTCTCCTCTTCTCATCTGCTGCTCTCATGCCTTGTATTGTCACCATCCTGCTTCACTTGACTCGAGGTAGCTTCACTCCAACACAACCCGTCTGTCCTCCCTGCCCTCGTTGCCTCCTGCAGCATCGGAGCACTGGCAGCAGTACACGCCTACAGGGGAAGATTCACTTCAAACATCCACCATCGCCCATTCCTTGTACTCCTCCCTTCCATCCCCTCCCCCTGCCCTCCTTTTTACCCGCCGCCAGCATCGGAGCACTGGCAGCAGTACACGCCCACAGGGGACGTGCCCTCACGGCGCTTCTCCCTCTCAGCCGACCTGCTGGACACAGTATCGGGCAAGATGATGCTCTTCGGGGGCTGTAATGACGATTTGGAAGCATTGGAGGATGCGTATTTCCTCCACACAGGTGAGGTACCGCATCATACACACAACGAAGCATGTATTGGGAGCTGAACTGCTGGACACAGTGTCAGGCAAGATGATGCTCTTTGGGGGCTGCAATGACGACTTGGAATCACTGGAAGATGCATACTTCTTGCATGCAGGTATGATGATGCTTTTGGGGAAGCTTGTATCTAGAGCTAGAGCAGGCCCGCTGGACACAGTGTCAGGCAAGATGATGCTCTTCGGGGAAAAAGGTGAGATGATGCTGTTGTTGGGGAAACTTGTGTCTAGAGCCGACGTGCTGGACACAGTGTCGGGCAAGATGATGCTCTTAGGGGCTGTAATGACGACCTGGAAGGCATTGGAGGATGCTTACTTCGTGCATACAGGTGAGGCATACAGTGCGCACATGTGCGATACAGAGTAAACACGAGCAAGTGTGTGCTCATACCTGACCTGCTGGACACAGTGTCGGGCGAGATGGTGCTGTTCGGGGGCTGTAACCACGACGTTGAAGCACTGGAAGATGCCTACTTCTTGCGTGCAGGTGAGATGCTGCTGTTGTTGTTTTGGAAGCGTGTGTCTAGAGCTAGAGCAGGCTTGTAGGGCACAGTGTCGGGCAATATGATGCTCTTCGGGGACTGTAACGACGGTTTGGAGGCACGGGAAGATGCATACAGGTGAGATGATGCTGTTGTTGGGGAAGCATGTACTCTTGGGGGCTGACCTGCTGGACTCGGTGTCGGGTGTACTCTTTTTCTTAGTGGGAATATACGCTCAAACCCTAAAGCGTATAGCGTATATACGCTAGCGTGTGTACGCAAAACGCTATACGCTAGCTAATACGCTATACGCTATCAGAAAGTTTTTTGGGCTGCCCAGGAAAAAAAATCGCTTGTATACAGAAAGATGCGGAATCTTCTGCTGAGCATTTCGCCTAAGTCGAATTGCAATTCGACGGTCTATGGAAGCGGGAATGTGCTTTCGAAGTTGTAGGCAGTTCAAATTTGAACATTAGATTAGTACCGCATTGGAACCCATATTATCTACGTATTCCAACCTGTCAAGAAGGTCCCCCACCAAACCCCACTCACGCTACTTACCAGCCAGCAAAATTCCAGTCATCATTTCTAGTTGACATTCCCGCTTCCTAACAGCAGAGCTCCTTCCGATTCCTACCTACTTCTCTTTTTAGTGTCTACTCCACGTCCCACCCCAATCGCCGTTCAGACTTAGGGAAATGCTACGAAAGCCTTAGTGAGACAAGGGAACACCTTCTTAATCTTGAGCACGACTTTTTTTTCACCCTGCCCGGGATAGTTTTTTACCTGCCCGAAAAAGCGTATTACCAAATCGACCCTTAAGCGTTTAGCGTATATACGTTAGCGTATATACGAGACGCGTATATACGCTATACGCTTATATTCCCAGTAAGCTCTTTTTCTCCCCCCTTCCCCCGCCGCCCAGGTTTCGGGTCGCATGCAGTGGAGTTCCCCCGGCCGCGGGTTTGGAGGTGGTCTCATGGTGGTCCATTCTCCCCACCCTCCGCACCCTCAACCCCCACCAACCCCCCCGCCCCTCCCTTCCTGCCCAGATTTCGGGTCGCATGCAGTGGAGTTCCCAAGGCCGCGGGTGCGGCGGCGGTCCTTCGACTTCATGCCCATGCCCATGCCCATGGCCATGGCCATGCCCTCCTTTCCCCCCCTCCCCTTTGGCTACACCCAGATTTCGGGTCGCATGCAGCGGAGTTCCCAAGGCCACGGGTGCGGCGGCGATCCTTCGACTCGATGCCCATGGCCATGGCCATGGCCATGGATGCACGCATGGGCATGGACCCTGGCATGGGCATGGGCATCCGCGGCTAGGCAGAAGATAGAGAGCATAGTGGGCTGTGGAAACGGTGCATACGCTTCTTCTCATCTGCCTTCCTTCCTTCCATTGCCCCCACTACCACCCCCCACCACCACCCCACACCACCAACCCCCTCCCATCCCCACCACCCACCCCTTCCCCCGCCGCCCAGATTTCGGGTCGCATGCAGTGGAGTTCCCCCGGCCGCGGGTGCGGCGCAGATCCTTCGACTCGATGCCCATGCCCATAGCCATGGCCATGGATGCACGCATGGGCATGGACGCTGGCATGGTCGTGGGGGCGGGGGCACTCCCATGGGCATGCATGCCCGGGCGGGGTTGCGAGGGCGTACTTCCTTCCTTTGACTCCTCTCCTCTCACAGTAGTCTGCCGCCCCTTGTGTGTCTGTCTGTGCGCCCCTCCCTCCCTCCCCCCCTTTGGCTACACCCAGATTTCGAGTTCCCAAGGCCGCGGGTGCGGCGACGGCCCTTCGACTCGATGCCCATGCCCATGCCCATGGATGGACGCATGGGCATGGTCGCTGGCGTGGGCATGGGCATCCGCGGGCAGAAGATAGAGAGCATAGTGGGCTGTGGAAATGGTGCATACGCTTCTTCTCATCTGCCTTCCTTCCTTCCATTGCCCCCACTACCACCCCCCACCACCACCCCACACCACCAACCCCCCCCATCCCCACCACCCACCCCTTCCCCCGCCGCCCAGATTTCGGGTCGCATGCAGTGGAGTTCCCCCGGCCGCGGGTGCAGCGGCGGTCATTTGATTCAATGCCCATGCCCATGGCCATGGCCATGGATGGTCGCATGGGCATGGATGCTGGCGTGGGCATGTGCGGAGGGGGAATGCCCTTGGGCATGTGCGGCAAGAGAGGAGAGGGCGCAGAGGGCGTGTGGGTGCGGGGTGCGGAGGGTGTGTATGAGGCGGGCGGCATGGATGGTGACGATGACGATGATGGGTATCGACGCCCTGCCAGACGCATGCGAGGTATGTGGTGGGTATGGGGATGGGTGTGGGTGTGGGTATAAGCATGGGCGCCATGAGGATCGTTTGTGTCACCAGCATGGATGATGATGATGGGTATAGACGTCCTGCCAGACGCATGCGATGTATGTGGTGGGATGGGAGCTATGGGGATGGCTTGTGTCACGGGCATGGATGATGATGATGATGATGGGTATAGACCCCCTGCCGGACGCATGCGCGGTATGTGCGGAAAGGAGGCTGTTGGGGATGGAGATGGGTGTGGGTGTGGCTACAAGTATGGGGCTGGGGCACGAAGGTTGTGTTTACCCGTCCGTCTGCCTCGCTCTACTGCCTCTCATCCTGCTGCCTCTCAGCTCAGTCTACCACCTTTTGAGCTATCTCACAACCTGTCCCTGTTCATCCCATTTCCCCTCCATCTTCCTTCCATCTCCTCCCCATCTTCCCACCACTGCAGTCACACAAGTGGCACCAGCCCTACCACCAGGCCTGCACCCAGCGGACCTGATAGCGCCGGCAGGCAGGGAGGTGCCGTTTGAGGCGCAGATAGTCGACGTTTTCCACCTCGGCTACTGCCCCTCATTCCCTTCCATTCGCCTCCCAACCACTCCTCCCCCCATACCCCCCCATCCCCCCCTCATCCAGTCCCGCAAGTCGCACCAGCCCTACCCCCAGGCCTCCACCCAAGTGACCTGATAGCACCGGCGGGCAGGGAGGTGCCGTTTGAGGCGCAGATAGTCGACGTCTTCTACCTCGGCTACTGCCTGCTTGGGGCGTTATCAGGCTACTGCTTCTTGGGTCCACTCGCTCTCGCTCTGCTGCCACACATGCCTCCTCACAGATTGTCCCTGCTCCCACATCCCTCCCCCTCATGTTCCCCCCCATCCAGTCCCGCAAGTCTCACCAGTGCTGCCACCAGGCCTGCACCCAGCGGACCTGATAGCACCGGCGGGCAGGGAGGTGCCGTTTGAGGCGCAGATAGTCGACGTTTTCCACCTCGGCTACTGCCTGCGAGCGACTGTGGCCGGTAGACCACTGCACGGACTGCTCTTCTCCTACGACCCTTCTTTCGCTCAAGCTGCTCTGGCACGCCAAGCCCAGTGAGTGATAGCAGAATTAGTGCTCCTCCTCGCGTCTTCCACCTCGGATGCTGCCCTGCCTGCACGCCACTTTTTCCGGCCGCCCCCTGCACGGCCTGCTCTTCTCCTACAACCCCTCCTTTGCCCAAGCTGCTCTGGCACGCCAGGCCCAGTGAGTGATAAGTCTCTCTTGGTCCCTCTCTTTCACCTCTTTCTCTTACCGTCTCATCCTTCCCCCACTTCACCCATCCACCCTGCTTCCGCTCCCCCCCCCTCTTCCACCTTTCCCCTCCGAGCTCAGAAGGCAAGCAGGCACAAGGTCATCCCGCCAGCCCCCACCCCCTCCACCGCATCTCACATTCTCTCCGGAAACCGGCACCCACACCATCACTGTTCCCGACCCCCACCGCCGGAGATCTGCTACTGCCGCAGCCACTGCCGCCACTGGTTCCGCCGCTGCTGGTGCTAATGCTGCTGCTGGTGCTGGAGCTTCTGGTGCTGTTGGTGGGGCAGTGGGTCATGGTGCACTGACTGCAGTTACATCTGGCAGAACTGTGCGAGGCGCTGTTACATCTCCGGCTGTAACACCACCGACAGCTGCTGCTGTGACAGCAGCTGATGGGGGGTCAAGAGGAGGAGGGGCGGCAGCGGGAGGAGTAGGGGGAGTAGCGGCAACAGGGGGAGGTGTAACAGGGGGAGGTGGTGCTGGGGTGGCTGCAGGGGCTTCGAGAGAAGCAGTGGCTGCTGCTGTGCTAGCACAAGTGCCATCAACACCGGCAGCACCCGCAGCAACAGCAGCAGCACCAGCCGCACCACCAGGAGCAGCAGGAAGAGCAGCGATGCCACCACTGGCAGCAGCTGCAGCTGCTGCGGCACAAGGGAATGGTGATGCAGGTGTCCAAGGGTCGCATGGTGGCCTGGCAGAAAATGAAGGGCACAATAAAGGTGTATTGCAAAGTGGGGGTCAAATTGGTACTGGAAAAGTACAAGAGATGGCTAACGGAGGATTTTCTAGGATGGATATTGATGCAGGTGGAGAGGCCGGCGAGGGTAAGGAAGAGGAGGAGGATGTGGATATAGTATAAGTGATGTATGTTGTATGCCCTTCTATTCTGTTTTGAGATCTTATCTGTAGTGATAGATCAGGTCTTTATTTACTGTACAGTCGATTGTTCTACGTGATGTTTACCATAGTGGTGCTAGCTAGGCCGTGAATCTCTGGCTAGTGATGTGATTGGGCAATCCCGAAGTGAACATCGCGCCACGTCAGCCCTTACGTCAACCATGTGCATCACTGGAGAGTTCCCATATGCGACCTCGACGAAAAGCCACCAAGGTAGGTAACACGGTGGTCCTCACACGTCGCTTAGAGCAGCAATAGGAACCCATGAAATTTCGTGAAGCACTGGTTACCGTGCTGATCCCGCCTTTTTCGCACAGCTTGCATGTTCCCAAGAATGTGGGATGACCCAGGTGGACACGCACCTTCTCTTTTGCACTTCTCCGTGTGGAACATTCTTCAGACCAGAATCCTGTTCGCTGATGATACAACTGCCATCTCTAGGAACTGCTGAGCAGATATCCTCAGCAGCAGCTCGTGTTCAGTGACAGTGACTAGAGCAGCTTAGGGCGCATTCCTGTGTGGACACAAATGTCTCAATCCCCCTTTTCCCGAGTCGCGTCGTAACATTTTGTCAACCTCGCGTCACAAAAAAAAAATGTATTGCGACACTAGGCGACCAGGCGAAATGTACAGTTGTGCGCTTTTGATTGGGTTTCGGAATTGACTGTACACCCGTTTCTTCAAACGCCTGGCTGGGGTGTGGTTTCGACGCGCGGGTTTTTTTCCCGCACGAAATTGGCATTGGGGGGTGTTCAGGTGCATTGGCATTTCGAACCGCGTGCGACATTTTTCCAGTGACGGGTCGATTTGCAACTCGTCCGTCACGTTAGCGCGTTTCACGCTAACCAATGAAAAATACAGTAACGGTCGCTAAAAGGCGATTCCGTTTGTGACATAATACGTTTTATGCTGTTTTTACGCGTCACAATAGGATTGAGACACAAATGTCCACACAGGAATGCGCCCTTAGTGGGTTCGTATCATGGGACAAAAGCCGTAGGACGACACAGCGATTTCCTCCTTGTATATATTACCATGCTTCCCTCTGGGGATACAAGGCAGAATCGGGTCAGAAGCTGATATGGAATCAGGTCCCTCTTATTTCCATCAAGCACTCGAAAATATGAACAAGACCTGGTTCTAGGCTCATAAGGACCTGTCATTATTCAGCTCAAGCGAAGCCTGTAACCAGTCTATTTAACAGCTTCGATTATCAAACCTAAGCGCGGCATGCGCGCGACACCATCCCTTACTGTTTCGCGACCAAGCATGTCAGCTGCAACCCCCGCGCCGCTCCGCGCGTTCAGCACACCGCACCGAACCGTACCGCTTTGCCGGCTTCCGTCGATTCCTCCATCCCTCGGAAATGGACTGCGCGGCTGTCCGCGCGCTGCGCTCCGCCAATCACAGCCCCATTCTCAGCGAAGTTTCCGCCAGCCGCGAGGACTTTCACTGAGCATTCGTCGAAATGGGTTCATTTCTGCACTCCCCTTTGCTCGGAAGGTTCCAAGATCAAGTGAGGGGGGAGAATCCGGAGCGAATCTACACCGACCAGTTCGTAAAAATGTCGTGGTTAGAGCCAATTCGCAGGGTAGTGACAATTCTTCTTCAAACGAGTCGGCTTCTAGCGAATTTGATTCCACTGGTGATAGCCGAGCCAACGATGCTCCGCAAGTCCCGGGAAGGAGCCCCGGTTCGCCGAATCCAGTACCTAGATCTCGGCCGTCCGATTTGGACATCCCGTTCGATCCTGCGGTCGACGCAATGATCGCGGCGGAGATGGCGGGGAGGAAGAGCAACGACCCACCTCCACCAGCTGAAAAAGAGGTAACTGTAATCAGAGTTATGAGAAGGAAAATCATAATAATTAGCTCGCATTTGAGCCACGCAAGGATGATTATAATAGGGTGTAGTATTGAGCTTCGGAACCAGTCTCACCACTCACAATGCCATTATATGCCACGTGTTGCCACCACCAATCGCAGAGACAAGCCACCCAGCTGGGCACGCTGCTGAAGCAGTTTGTCCGCGTGGCAGCACCCTATTGGTCGTCGGAGGACAAGGGCCAGGCGCGGCTGCGACTGGCGGCGGTGTTTGTGTTCGCGCTGGGCTGCACTGGCGTCTCCGTGCTCTTCAACTTCTTATATCGAGACTTCTACAACGCTATAGCGAGTATGTGCTCTTCAAATTCCTGTTACCGAGACCTTCTTGCGGCAGCTCTTGTGGTTTGCGCGACCCCTTCCCCGCCTTCTCCCTTCTTATTGTCTTGTCCTTATTCCCCTTACCACCGCCCCCCGTTTCTTCCCCCATTCCCACCAGGCAAGGACGAGGAGGCCTTTCTGAGGCAGCTCTTGTGGTTTCTCGGAGCCACTGTGGGGGGTGTGCCGGTAGGTTCAGCAGGGGGGAGTGCCGGAAGTTGCAGCAGGGGGGAGTGCCGGAAGTTGCAGCAGGGGGGTGTGCCGGAAGTTGCAGCAGGGGGGAGTGCCGGTAGTTGCAGCAGGGGGGAGTGCCGGTAGGTGGAATAGAAGAGGGTGTTGTATGGCTGTGGGTATATAAAAGGGGTGTGTGTCAGTGGGTGGTGCACGGGGGTGCGGCAGTGGGTAGAGCAATGCGAGTGTGGCTGTGGGAGGATGTAGGGGATGATTGAGTGAGGGATAGAATGATGATTGAGAAAGAGAGAACGATTGAGAGGGGGGTGTTTAGGGGCTGCCTGAGAGACAGCTCAATGAAGGGTGCTGTCTCTCTGGCAGATTGCCTTGAGTTCGCTTGCTGCTCTGCCAAGGCATGCACACGCAACTCCCATGTCACGCCGTCCCCTGCTTTCCACCGGCACCAAGCACCCGGCCTTTCGCACCAGTGCACATCCGTTGTGCATCCACAACCTTCCCCCCTTCTCCGTCCATCCGCCATACCCCTCCTGTCCCCCCGGCGCCTCCACCCTCTCTCCACAACCCGTCTCGCTGGTTTTTGTGGTGGTTACCTGCGCCGGCAACCACAAGTGCCACGTGTCACATCACACCATGCTGCGCCTTCTACCTCTCCCCACCTCCACCTATTCACCCCCAGCCCCCCTTTCCCCCTTTTTTTCCCCACAGATGTTTGCTTTCCGGGAGTAGTTTTGAGGCAGCGTTTTGAGGCGGCTCAATATCCCTTTTCCCTTTCCTTCTTCCCCAGGTGTTTGCCTTCCGGGGCTGCTTTAGTGAGAGACTCTTAGAACGTTCTCCTTCTACCCCTCCCTCCCCCTCCCCCCTCGCCGGCGTTTGTGTTCCGGGACTACCTGCGTGACACAATGGCACTGCGATGGCGGCTATTGAGGCACTCAAAGGTCCTCCCACCCTCCCCACCTCCTTCCTGCAAGCAGGTGTTTGTGTTCCGGGACTATCTGCGAGACACGCTGGCGCTGCGGCGGCGGGTGGATGACAACCGTCCCCCCACTCCCCCCCCCTCGCAGGTGTTTGTGTTCCGGGACTATCTGCGTGACACACTGGCGCTGCGGTGGCGGGCGTGGATGACAACAGACCTGCTCAACAAGTACTTCCAGCACCGCACCTTCTATAACATCCAGTCGCAGGTGGGTTCGATACAGTCACATTTGTTGGAATCACACACAAGTGCTTCAAGCAACGTACGTTCTATAACATTCAGTCGCAGGTAGGAGGGTGCAGTCACTCCCTCACTCACTAATACACATACAGCTGATTACAGCCTCAAAGCAGGTGCGCGGATGATGACAGACCTGCTCAACAAGTACTTCCAGCACCGCACCTTCTATAACATCCAGTCGCAGGTGGGTTCGATACAGTCACATTTGTTGGAATCACACACAAGTGCTTCAAGCAACGTACGTTCTATAACATTCAGTCGCAGGTAGGAGGGTGCAGTCACTCCCTCACTCACTAATACACATACAGCTGATTACAGCCTCAAAGCAGGTGCGTGGATGATGACAGACCTGCTCAACAAGTACTTCCAGCACCGCACCTTCTATAACATCCAGTCGCAGGTACGTCACAGCTGGTTACAGTCACAGTTGATTACAGTCACAGCTGGTTAAATTCACAAACAAGTATTTCCATTCCAACCCCGCACCTTCTACAACATCCCCATCTCCACCTCTTCTCCTTTGCTACCCCCGTTTTCCCTTTCCCCCGCTTGTTCCCAGTCCCTAATAGACAACCCAGACCAGCGAATCAACGAGGACGTGGCTGACTTCACAACCACCTCGCTCACTTTTGCCTTCTCCCGCATCCCTCCCATTTCCCATTTTGTCACTCCCCCCCGTTTCAACTTGTCCCCCAGTCCTTAATAGACAACCCCGACCAGCGAATCAACGAGGATGTGGCTGACTTTACCACCACCTCGCTCACCTTCTCCCTCGCTCCTTCCTCCCATTCCCCATTTTGTCACTCTCTCCTTTTCACCTTGTCTCCCAGTCTCTAATAGACAATCCCGACCAGCGGATCAACGAGGACGTGGCTGACTTCACCACCACCTCGCTCACCTTCTCCCTCGCGCTCGTGAACGCCATCGTGGATCTCATCTCCTTCTCCGGCATCCTCTACTCCATCTACCCGCCGCTCTTTGCTGTGCTTCTGGCGTATTCCCTTGGAGGCACGGCAATTAGCGTGTACCTGGGAAGGGTGAGTGCGGCTAGGTGGTGCTAGGTGCTGCTAGGTGGTGCTAGGTGCTGCTAGGTGGTGCTAGGTGTGCTATACTGGATCTCATCTCCTTCTCCGGCATCCTCTACTCCATCTACCCGCCGCTCTTTGCTGTGCTTCTGGCCTACTCCTTGGGGGGCACGGCAATCAGCGTGTACCTGGGAAGGGTGAGTGCGGCTAGGTACTGCCAGTGCTAGGTGTGCCGTCGTGGATCTCATCTCCTTCTCCGGCATCCTCTACTCCATCTACCCGCCGCTCTTCGCCGTGCTGCTCGCTTACTCCCTTGGAGGCACGGCATTTAGCGTTTACCTGGGCAGGGTAAGTGCTGCTGCTGCTAGGTGCTGCTAGGTGGTGCTGGGTGCTGCTAGGTGGTGCTGGGTGCTGCTAGGTGGTGCTGGGTGCTGCTAGGTGGTGCTGGGTGCTGCTAGGTGGTGCTGGGTGGATCTCATCTCCTTCTCCGGCATCCTCTACTCCATCTACCCGCCGCTCCTTGCCATATTCCTTTGGATGCACAGCCATCAGCGTTTGTATCTGGATAGGGTGAGTGCTGCTGCCGGGTGCTGCTGTCTGTGCTGTTTCTAGGTGCTGCTGCTAGTTGCCGCCATGGCAGGATCTGCTGGGCTGAAATATCTGCAGGAGAGAGACGGCTATACTTGTTGCCGAAGACACTCTTTGATTACTTCTTTTGCTCATTTTACACCCGTCACTTTGTAACCTCGTCTAGTTCTCCAGTTCCTTTGACAGCTCCTCTCCCTTCTCCCCCCTCCTCTTCTCCTCCTCGCCCTCAGGAGCCATTGGGACTCAACTTCCTGTAGGAGAAGGAGGGAGAGGTTCTCTTGCCTAGAACACACCCCTTTTGACCCTGCCTCTCCTCGCTTATACCCATCCCTCCACAAACACAGGAATTAGTGAGGCTGAACTTCCTGGAGGAAAATTAGGAGGGGGCTGATTTCCTGTTGGTTACGACACAGCATGCCCCTTCCTTGCCTAACTTCCCTTCCTCTCTCCCATTCCCGCTCACAGGAGCTAGTGGGGCTGAACTTCCTGCAGGAGAAGAAGGAGGCGGACTTCCGCTACGGGCTGGTGCGCGCGCGCGAGAACGCCGAGAGTATCGCATTCTACGGCGGCGAGAGGAGTGAGACGCGCCTGCTGCTGCAGCGCTTCCGGCAGTCCTTTGCCAACTACGCTGTGAGTGAGCAAATGCATACGTCTGTGCGTGTGCGCGGCCTTTGCTCATGTGTGTGCGTGAGCTGCGAATGCTTGTCGAGCAACAGGAGAGGAGCGAGACGCGCCTGCTGCAGCGCTCCCAGCAGCCATTTGCCAACCACGCTGTGGGTGAGCGGATCTATGTGTGGGTGCCACGGCTGTTCACTGTTCGAATCCTGGAATGGGATGCTTTGAATCTGCTCATCGCGTGCATGTGGCAGGGTGGCACTTACGACAATGATTTTCCAACTATGCTATGGGTGGGCCCATTGGCACATGATGGGAATGGATTGATGCGAAGAACATTGCTTTTCATGGGAGATAGTGCAGCGTGACACACCTGCTGTTGCTGTGAATGAGCTCATTGATGCTTGTCGCGGGTCTGTGCATGCACTCATGTGCCAGCAGCAATCACTACCTCATCCAACTCGTGTTTTGAGTCGACTTCTGTTTTGAGTCGGCCCGTGTTTTGAGTCGGCCCGTGTTTTGAGTCGGCTCGTGTTTAGAGTCGGCTCTCAACACGACTATGTGCATGCGCTCATGTGCCAGCAGCTATCACTACCTCATCCAACTGCTACCAACATCCCACCCAAACAATTTGTGTCACTGTCTCCGAATTTCCCTCCCTCCTTCTCCCCACCCCACTCCCCCCTTCTCCCTTCCACCCCACAGCGCCTGCTGGTAGTGGGGCGCAACCTGGACTTCTTCACCAGCAACTACCGCTATCTCATCCAGCTGCTGCCAGCAGCCGTGGTGGCGCCGCTTTACTTCCGAGGGGAGATAGAGTTTGGAGTCATCAACCAGTCTTTCTCCGCTTTCAACCACGTGCTCGGGGATTTCTCCATCATCGTGTTTCAGTTCCAGGCGTTATCGCAGTTCTCTGCAATTGTTGAACGTCTGGGTACGTGTTGTGTGAATGTAGCGCTGCACACTGAACTGAACGTGCTTGTAACGGGAGGGAGACTGAGTAGGTGTCATCAACCAGTCCTTCTCTGCATTCAACCACCTCCTCGGAGACTTCTCTATCATCGTATTTCAGTTCCAAGCGCTCTCGCATTTCTCTGCCATTGTGGAATGGCTGGGTATGTCTTGTGTGGTTGCTGCTGCACTGCACACAAGACGTACAGAACGTGCTTGCAACGGGGGGAAGATCGAGTTCGGCATCATCAACTAGTCCTTCTCCGCATTCAACCACGTGCTTGTAACGGGGGGAAGATTGGAACTTTATCGACTTTCAGTTCCGTGCACTCTCACAGTCCTCGGCTATTGTCGAACGGCTGGGTTGGTTCGTGTTTTCCTGTCTGGCTGTGACTGACACTGCACTTCACACTCAGCTGACATGCGCATCCATTGTCAAACGGCTGGATACATGCCATCCTGTGTGTGTGACCGCTGCACTGAACGTGGAGATAGTTTTACGAGGAACACTAGCGAGTGGTTGTCTGGCAATATTTTTTTTTGTCCCGACCAGTTGTTGCTGCGTGAGGAACACAACTGGCATGGGTTGGGAACGTTGGGTTTTGAGAGCTCGTTTGGTGGTGTGCGGTGTGTGAGGTGTCTTTTGAGTCGACTCAAAAGTCAGCTCGTTTGGTGGTGTGCGTGCGGTGTGTGAGTTGTCTTTTGAGTCGACTCAAAAGTCAGCTCGTTTGGTGGTGTGCGGTGTGTGAGTTGTCTTTTGAGTCGACTCAAAAGTCAGCTCGTTTGGTGGTGTGCGGTGTGTGAGTTGTCTTTTGAGTCTACTCAAAAGTCAGCTCGTTTGGTGGTGTGCGGTGTGTGAGTTGTCTTTTGAGTCGACTCAAAAGTCAGCTCGTTTTGGTGGTGTGCGGTGTGTGAGTTGTCTTTTGAGTCGACTCAAAAGTCAGCTCGTTTGGTGGTGTGCGGTGTGTGAGTTGTCTTTTGAGTCGACTCAAAAGTCAGCTCGTTTTGGTGGTGTGCGGTGTGTGAGTTGTCTTTTGAGTCGACTCAAAAGTCAGCTCGTTTGGTGGTGTGCGGTGTGTGAGTTGTCTTTTGAGTCGACTCAAAAGTCAGCTCGTTTGGTGGTGTGCGGTGTGTGAGTTGTCTTTTGAGTCGACTCAAAAGTCAGCTCGTTTGGTGGTGTGCGGTGTGTGAGTTGTCTTTTGAGTCGACTCAAAAGTCAGCTCGTTTGGTGGTGTGCGGTGTGTGAGTTGTCTTTTGAGTCGACTCAAAAGTCAGCTCGTTTGGTGGTGTGCGGTGTGTGAGTTGTCTTTTGAGTCGACTCAAAAGTCAGCTCGTTTGGTGGTGTGCGGTGTGTGAGTTGTCTTTTGAGTCGACTCAAAAGTCAGCTCGTTTTGGTGGTGTGCGGTGTGTGAGTTGTCTTTTGAGTCGACTCAAAAGTCAGCTCGTTTGGTGGTGTGCGGTGTGTGAGTTGTCTTTTGAGTCGACTCAAAAGTCAGCTCGTTTGGTGGTGTGCGGTGTGTGAGTTGTCTTTTGAGTCGACTCAAAAGTCAGCTCGTTTGGTGGTGTGCGGTGTGTGAGTTGTCTTTTGAGTCGACTCAAAAGTCAGCTCGTTTGGTGGTGTGTGTGTGATGTGTGAGGAACACGAGGTGCGAGTGAAGCCGAGGGGAAAGGAAGGGCGCAGGTGGAGCAGTCAGTCGTAAAGATGATCATCTTTGAGTGGTGCACGTAAAGATGCATCAAAGATGCATGCTGCTGATCGTTTGAGTGGTGGAAGGACCATGGCACATGCGTGCATGTACGTGCGTGCATGTACGTGAGTGCATGCATGTGCGTGCATGCATTTGGGAAGGAGGGGCACATGTGGAGCAGTCGCAAAGATAATCTGATCCAAGAGACATGCTGCTGGTCGTTTGACTGGTGGAAGGACCATGGGCCGTATGTGCACATGTGCATGCGGTGCCACGTGGTTTCATTCTGCCTCATGGCCGGCAGCATTTGTCTTCTTGCTTCATGATGGATCCATAGTTTTCAATCTGAATGCCCCTCCTTCCCTTCACTCGTTTCGGTCACTCTCTTCAGTAACACCTTTTACACTTCCAGATCTTTACTATCCCAATCTTTACTCACTTGCTCGCACTCTTCACTATCACTCTTTACTGCCACGCTATTAGATCCAGACACTTGGATGACTAATCAATTAGAATAGCTTCTAAGAATTTTTAAGTGACATCTCTATTAGAGAACATAATGCCTAACTTACACTCTCAGTCTCGCGTGCTCCCTCTTCTCATTCTCCTCACTCTCCCCTCTCAATCCCCTCTCAATCCCCTCTCAATCCCCTCTCAATCCCCTCTCACTCTCCCCTCTCAATCCCCTCTCAATCCCCTCTCAATCCCCTCTCAATCCCCTCTCAATCCCCTCTCAATCCCCTCTCAATCCCCTCTCAATCCCCTCTCAATCCCCTCTCAATCCCCTCTCAATCCCCTCTCAATCCCCTCTCAATCCCCTCTCAATCCCCTCTCAATCCCCTCTCAATCCCCTCTCAATCCCCTCTCACTCTCCCCTCTCACTCTCCCCTCTCACTCTCTCAATCCCCTCTCAATCCCCTCTCAATCCCCTCTCAATCCCCTCTCAATCCCCTCTCAATCCCCTCTCAATCCCCTCTCAATCCCCTCTCAATCCCCTCTCAATCCCCTCTCAATCCCCTCTCAATCCCCTCTCAATCCCCTCTCAATCCCCTCTCAATCCCCTCTCAATCCCCTCTCAATCCCCTCTCAATCCCCTCTCAATCCCCTCTCAATCCCCTCTCAATCCCCTCTCAATCCCCTCTCAATCCCCTCTCAATCCCCTCTCAATCCCCTCTCAATCCCCTCTCAATCCCCTCTCAATCCCCTCTCAATCCCCTCTCAATCCCCTCTCAATCCCCTCTCAATCCCCTCTCAATCCCCTCTCAATCCCCTCTCAATCCCCTCTCAATCCCCTCTCAATCCCCTCTCAATCCCCTCTCAATCCCCTCTCAATCCCCTCTCAATCCCCTCTCAATCCCCTCTCACCCCCCTCTGATCGCCTCACCTCACCAACCACCAGGCGAGTTTCAGGAGGTGCTGGACGACCAGAGCAAGCCAGCAGCGCTGCCAGCTGCCTCTGCAGGCGCTGCTGCTGCAGCAGCAACCACGGGCAGCAGCAAAGAGGAGAAGGATGGTCAAGCTGTGTCGGCAGACGGGGAGGAGGAGAAGGGGAGAGGGTCGGAGCATGCAACAGCAGCTGAGGCAGCTGCAGAGCACCTAGCGTCGCTGGTCAACAGCTTCATCACCATCGAAAACGTCATCCTCCCGACTTCTGCTCCCTCTCTCCCTCCCCCACTGCTGCCTACCTCTGCCACCCCAAATCCCTCTCACTCCTCCACCTCCTCCGCCCCCGCCTCTGGCTCTGCCTCCGTCTCCCCCCGTGTGTTGCTCGAGGTGGACCGTCTCACTCTTTGCACGCCGCAGTACGCCTCGTGCCTGCTCTCTGGCCTCTCGCTCTCCGTCAAGCAAGGCGAGCACCTGCTGGTGAGTGCCGGCAGGGTGACTGGGTGGTTGTTGTATCTGACGGGGTGACTGGTTGGTGCATCTCACCACCTCGCTGCTGTCTGCAAGCGTCTGGTATCTATTACCATCTGTTACCATCTGTTACCATCTGTTACCATCTGTTACCATCTGTTACCATCTGTTACCATCTGTTACCATCTGTTACCATCTGTTACCATCTGTTACCATCTGTTACCATCTGTTACCATCTGTTACCATCTGTTACCATCTGTTACCATCTGTTACCATCTGTTACCATCTGTTACCATCTGTTACCATCTGTTACCATCTGTTACCATCTGTTACCATCTGTTACCATCTGTTACCATCTGTTACCATCTGTTACCATCTGTTACCATCTGTTACCATCTGTTACCATCTGTTACCATCTGTTACCGTCTGCTACCATCTGTTACCGTCTGCTACCATCTGTTACCATCTGTTACCATCTGTTACCATCTGTTACCATCTGTTACCGTCTGCTACCATCTGTTACCGTCTGCTACCATCTGTTACCAACTCGTTGGAATGGTGATAAAGCTCTTCAACAGCTTCAAGGCTTTCATCCATCTGCTGAGGAGCGACGCCAGGTGCTGAAGCTGATGGTTGGAGAGCGTCGCAAGGCTTTCAACCATCACCTGCCGTCGAGTCGCTCTTCAACAGCTTCAGCACCATTTCCTTCCCCCCTGCGCCCTCCCCTTCCTGACTCCTTCTGATTTCCTTCCCAGATAATGGGTCCCAGCGGTAGTGGCAAGACTTATCTCTGCTTCGCCTCGTCCCTCCACCCTGTTTCTTGCCCTGCCGCACCCTCCTATCCCCCCATCCCCCCCACACACGCCAGATAATGGGTCCCAGCGGTAGTGGCAAGACCTCTCTGCTCCGAGCTGTTGCCGGGCTTTGGCGCTCGGGCAGCGGAACGGTCAGAAGATATGTTTACCTGCCCGAGGAATCAACAGCGGGGAACGGGAGGGAATCAACCGCCACAAGCAGCAACGCACAGAGGGATTCAAGAAGTGTGAATAATGACAGTGCCCATACAAAGACTGATTATAACGAGAATGACAGAGAGGGGAGTGAGCATGGAGCAAGGGGCAGGACAGAGGAGGCAGAGGGGCGAGAGAGTGGGAGAGAAGTGAGTGTGGGTGTGGAGGGCGCAAGTGTGGTGAAGGCAGAGGGCGCAGTGGCTGACGTGGAGGAGGGGGTGATGGACGCGGGAGGGGCGGTGTTCTTTGTCCCGCAGCGGCCCTACATGGTGCTGGGGTCGCTCAGACAGCAGCTGCTCTACCCCACCTGGAGTGAGCTGGAGGAAGGGGAAGGGGCAGGGCGGGTGGGCGATGATGGTGCAATGGCGCAGAGTGAAGGAGGCGAGGGGAAGGAGGGGAAGGAGGGGAGTATGGAGGGGTGGTGGACGGTGGGCGGGTTGATGCAGCGGTTGGGGATCAACAAGGAGGCAAACAATGGAGGGACAGGTGAGAGGAGGGGAGAGGAGACACAGTCAAGTGGCTTTCTCTTTCCTGCTTCCCCTCACACTTGGGGTACCTGGCCCGCCCGCACCGGTGGCCTGCCTTCTGTTCCCGTTTGCTTTCTCCCGTCTCCTGCCTGCTTTCTCCTTCCTCCACTCCCTTATTGCAGCCCTCTTCCCGTCACCTTTACACCATTCACCCCGCGCCCCCTTTACTCCATGGGGCCCGCTCCCCAAACCGTCCTCTCCCTCGCTGTACTCCCCAGGGCTCGTTCACGGTTTTCTCTCCTTGTTTGCCTTCCCTCCTCACTCCCCGACATCTTGCCAGCTGGATCCGGCCCCACTCCCATTTCCACCCTCGCCTCCTCGCCCCACAACATGGCTCATCGTTAGCACTCTTTTGTTTTTTATCTCTTTCCCATCCCTCTTATTTCCACCTCACCAATGGCCTCACCCCCCAACCTTCACCTAGCTGGCTTCCCCCCCACCTCCATTTCCACCCTCGCCTCCTCGCCCCACAACATGGCCCATCGTTTGCAATCCATGCCAACTTAAATATTCTATCTCTCTACCTCCGACCTCCCCACCCTCTTCCCCCTACCCCACCAGTTAAGTTCCCCCCCACCTCCATCGCCACCCTCGCCTCATCGCCCCACAACATGGCACACCACTGGAACTCTGAAATGTCTCACCTCTGCCCTTCTCCTTCTGCTTCCCTTTTCTCTGTTTCCTTCCCTCTTTCCGCCCCTAACAGCTGGGTTCCCCCCCACCTCCATTGCCACCCTCGCATCATCGCCCCACAACATGGCGCACCATTAGCAATACATGACAACTTCTTATCCTTCCCTCTTCTCCCCCCCCCATCACCCCACCCTTTCCCCCGCAGCTGGGTTCCCCCCTACCTCCATCTCCACCCTCGCCTCCTCGCCCCACAACATGGCGCACCGCCCTCAGCCGTCGGATGAGGAGCTCCTGGCGGTGCTGGACGGCGTGAGATTGCGCCACGTGGCGGAGCGCCAGGGGGGCCTAGACGCGCAGGTGGAGTGGGCGAGTGTGCTGTCGCTGGGCGAGCAGCAGCGCCTCGCCTTCGCCCGCCTGCTGCTGTCTCGTCCCGAACTGGCTTTGATGGATGAAAGTACCAGCGCCTTGGATGAAGAGAACGAGGTGAGGGGGGTAAGGTTACCAGGTGTAGCAGGGTGCCAAGCCGACTCGAATCGGTAAGCGTGCAGGAGAGGGAAGGGGGATCGTGGGTGGGGTTGGCTAGAGGCGCGCAGGTGGAGTGGGCGAGTGTGCTGTCGCTGGGCGAGCAGCAGCGCCTCGCCTTCGCCCGCCTGCTGCTCTCCAGACCGGAGCTTGCTTTGATGGATGAATCCACCAGCGCACTTGCTTTGGTTGAGGCGGCAGGACTGGCCTTTATCAGCATCAGCCACAGCAGCTCCCTTGTGTGGTGGTTTCTGTTCTCATGCCACGTCCGTCCCCTCACCCCTCCCTCCATTCCTCCTTCCCTCCATCCTTCCCTCCATCCTTCCCTCCATCCTTCCCTCCTTCCCTCATTCCCTCATTCCCAACTTCCCTCCTTTCCCACAGGCGCACGTGTACGGGTTGGTGGAGGCAGCAGGAGTGACGTTCATCAGCATCAGCCACCGCAGCTCCCTTGGTGTCTTGTGTTCTTATGGTTGCTTTTATTCTCACGCCATCACCCTCTCTCCATCCCCCCCACAGGCGCACGTGTATGGGCTGGTGGAGGCAGCAGGAGTCACCTTCATCAGCATCGGCCACCGCAGCTCCCTCCGCCGTTTCCACTCGCTTCTCCTCACCCTCACACCCACTGGGAGGGCTGATGCGTCTTCTGACGTCACTGATGGCGTCAGTGATGACGTCAGGGACAGCAGCAATGACGCCAGTGGCGGTGATGGGGTTGAGGGAGGGCGAAGGGTGGTGGCGCGTGGAACAGGCAGCATGTGGACGCTGGAGAGAATAGGAGAATAGACTGACTTATCAGCATAGGCCACCGCAGCTCCCTCCGCCGCTTCCACTCGCTCCTCCTCACCCTCACGCCCACTGGAGGACAGCTCGCCGCTGCTGACGTCAGTGATGACGTCAGGGGCAGCAGTGATGGTATCAGCAGTGGGGGAGGGGCTGTGGAAGGGAGGTGGGTGGTGGCACGTGGAACAGGCAGCATGTGGACACTGGAGAGGATAGAAGATTAGACTGACTTATCAGCAGCAGCTGCAGCTCCCTCCACCGCTTCCGCTCCCTCCTCCATACCCTCGCACTTGCCGGGAGGGCTGATGCCTCTGCTGACGTCACTGATGATGTCAGTGATGACGTCAGGGACAGCAATGTTGACATCAACAGTGGTGATGGGGGTGGGGGAGGGAGACGAGTGGTGGCACGTGGTACAGGTAGTATGTGGTCAGTGGAGTGAATATGGTAGCAGAGTAGACTGATTTGAGCCTTGGGGGTCTAGACTGTAATTCCTACATGGGGTAGGGTGGGGAGGGGAGTTTGGTGAGCATTGGAACCGGGCTTGCGGGTGACGATCTTGCTGGTGGTTGGTGGAATGTCCTTTCATTTATTGTGTCGTTTTAGGCTGCTGATTCCGATTATGGTTGGGGTGGTGATGTTGGCAACGACAAGCCCCCAAATATAGAACAGGTGAGCTAATAAAAAGCAAATCTCATTGGAATAAGTACTTTGCATGCAATCTGTTAGAATGAGGTTTACTATTCACTATGAATAAGTATCTCTTCTAAACCCCATCCACATCTTACGGTATCTTCCAAGATCTCCAAGTGCCATGTGGGGCTCTAATTATCCTGCATTTCAATCTTAAATCCCACTAACTTCTTTTTTGCGTGCTACGGTACGTAGTGCTTGCTTGTTTTCGCCAGTACTATTAATGCTTGCTTCTCCGTTTCCTGCTCTAGTTGCACTTGGAGCGGCACTTCTTGGCGTCTTTCTTGCATTTCTTGTAAGTGTGCGTGCACTTGTGGTGGTCATGCTTGTCGTCCTTGTTCTCGCGCTTGCACTTGCTGTACTCCTCGTTGCACTCCTTGTTCTTCTCCTCGCAGTCCGACCTGCACGACAGCTCGCGGTGCATCTGCGGCGACCACAGGAACCGCCTGCTCGCGCCCAACAGCTGCCCCACCACACCTGGAAATACCAACCAACGCAAGAATCAAAGGATTAGTAATCACACACAGATGCTCTACATTCAGGGGAGCTGAAACTTCTGCTGGTGCCAAGAATGTTTGATGTTCACGAGATTCAATAACAGAGAAGGCAGAAGGAACCAAGATTCAGCAAGGCGAGGCATGCCCGCCGGCCTGAGGGCGCGGCGGTTAGGGCACCCAACGGCACTGAGCACGACGTACGGTAGCGACGAAACGCACCTGGAGGCGAGGCGTCGGAGGGAATGGCGGCTTCCAGCGCGTCATCTTCGAGGTCTCCTTCCGCGCCGATTTCACTCGCGCGGCACTGCGGCGCCAGCGCGAGGGATACGACCAGAGAGAGCGCGAGCAGGGCGAAGAAAAGCCTGGAGCGCGCCATGGCTGCAGCGAATGCTGGATCAACAGGGGTGGCGCCTCGGACACGACGAGAGCGTGAGAACGACTTGTGGTAAAAAGGCTAGAAACTGGTTGTTAGTTCCAAGTTGAACTGGAGCTGGTACCGATTAGCATTCAGGTCCTGCCTTTTATAGGACCAATGCAGCGTCTCTACTGGCAGTAGCACTGTGTACATCGTGAAAAGTACGCAAGCCTAGTAGCGACTGGTCGGTAGGTAACTCCAGCGGCTGGTCGGTGATAGGTAAGCGTGGTGGAGTATTTCTGGTCGGCGTTTGAGCTGCGTGTGCTAAGCGAAACTAGCGGGATGGGGTTGATTGATCGAAGTGTTAGGAAACGTGGGAAGCAGGAGAAGGGGCAGCTGGGGAAGTAGGGGTGGTACGGTACTGGAGTACACGTAGTTATGTGTGCTTGCTGCGATAGATCATCCGTTGAGGAAGAAAGGCGCGGGTCGGAGGACAAGAAATGGAATGCGAGTTCGAACCGCGCCATGCGACGCCAAAGTGTATTTTGGCGCGACGATTCGCTTTTCACGAAAATTTGGGCTGTTCAATTCAAACAAGTCAGTTTGTGTCAGCTATTCAATCCACTCTCCCGATACCAGCCGGTATTCACACGTTGTACATAAGGGCGTGTTCGTTTTGCCATCATGTGGTGAAGTCGAATTCTGGAATCAAATTTTTATTCCCTGCAGTATTCGAACACCAGTTATTCAGAAATTTCAATAACGGTGCGTATGACACAAAATGAAACGAAATTGAAATGGTGCTCAAATGTGACACACTTTAAATTCGACTTTTGCGAACCGCGTGCGAAAAACAATCAGAGTCGTACGGGATGCATACGACTAAATAGGATCTGGCAGGTCGACGTGGCTGATGTTAATGACATTCCCGCCAAGCGACTTGACGTGTCGCATCGGTCGTACAAATTCGTGAATTTGCGACAAAATCGCATGGCGGAATGTTCGAAATTGTAGAAATTGTGGAGGTTTCACTCAATCGAACTAGCGAGAGTGAAGAAACCGATTTCGAAGTGTATTACGGAGTGGACACCTACGAGACGGGGAATTTGCGAAGTCATCTAGCGACATTCGCGAAACTTTGTTACGAACAAAAGTTCGAACGTTCGGATATTTAGCGAACACGCCCTAAATGGTTAGGAAAGTACTTACAACACCGCATACAGCAGCAGCCGTTGTTCGCTAACATGCTACTGTTAATGGGGCGTCGCCAACATTTGCGCGCACTGTTTCACCAAACCAAACACCGCTAGCCCGGCCGTATCAGCCTAGCAATAGCTAGCTTGCACGCATCGCGTTACCGTTTGCATGTTTCACTTACCGTATAAGTATTCGCTCATGCCTTCGCTTATAAGTGCTCGCTCGACACCTAGTGCAATCCTCTTTATCTCGCTCCATCGCACCCGTAGCACTTGGCTATAAGAACCACTTTTCTTTTGGATTGTGTATTCCCCCAACCAGATATAACACAACATTTGATATTTTTGCACTCGAAGGGACTCACACCCTTTAGCACCTAGGAGCCGCTGTCCTTGTATACGCGAAAACGCGTTCAGCCACGATTGCGCCTAGAGCTATGACGAGCCGCCACCCTTTGACATGGCTGGGCGAATCGACTCCACGACCCTCACGCAAGTGCGCCTGAACCAACTGCTGCAGTAGCTGCACGAAAGCACCCGAAAATTTGCGGCGCTAACGGCAGAACTTGTCAGAATTACTAGGCAAGAATGAATGAACTAGCAGAAGTTTGGGTACAAATATGAAACCCTAGTTGGGGTTGTACCCCATATTGGCTACCCCACTACAGCCTACAAGCATAATACAGTTTAACACACCCCCATAGGCAAAGTGGGGGAGAACAAAGGGTCACAAGACCAGTCCAGCAAAGCAAAGCAAAGCCCAGGGTGGATCACAACGTCACCACACTCCGAGCACAAGTAAAGGCCACAAGGCCAGTTCACATGCAGTGCTAGATATAGTACAAGACAAGCAACACAGTGATCAAAACCTAGCAAGCAAGCAACAAGATATATATAAAGTACAGTACAAAGAATGTCAAGCAGTGAGCAAGTGAGGAAACGTGGACACAAGGCCTAAAGAAGTACAGTGCCGCTGATGATCACTAGGCGGGAGCGCCTTGGTGAAGATATCAGCAGTGTTGGCCTTCGAGTCCACGTACACAAGCCGAAGCTGACCGCGCTGCTGAAGCTCTCGAGCAAGAAAGTAGCGAAGAGCAATGTGCTTCGTCCTGTGCTCCAGTCTGTGCTCCTGACACAAGGCAAGAGCCGCCTTGTTGTCACCGTACAGAACTGGAGGAGAACTAGGCCGCTCTCCCAAGTCAGTCAGCAGGTAGGTGAGCCAGCGTAACTCCTGTGCAGCCATGGCTGTGGCGTAGATCTCAGCCTCACAACTAGAGCCGAGAACAGAGGAAGAGCGGGTGGACCGCCACGAGACAGAACCAGAGCCAAGGCTGAAGGTGTAACCCTGTGACGACCGCTGCGTAGCCAGGTCGTCCACCCAAGAAGCGTCCGAGTGGCCAGTGAGGACAACTCTGTCGCGTCCTCCAAGCACCAGCCCCATGCCTGATGTACTGCACAAGTAGCGCAGCACCCTCTTAGCAGCCTCCCAGTGCTCTCGCCTGTGTCTCCCAGGCGCAACGTAACGAGCAAGGATGCTAAGAGGGTACGCGAGGTCAGGTCGCGTGCAAGTCATCAGGTACATGAGGCAGCCCACAAGCTCTGGGTACGGGCCACTCGGCTCTACGGACTCGTCCGGAGGTGGAGCTGAGAGCGAGTGGCTGGTAGCCAGAGGTGTGGCCTGTGGTGAGGAGAACTGGAAGCCGAAGCGCTGAAGGACCTGCTGCACCATGTGTGACTGAGTCAGGGTGATGGTGCGGCGAGCTCTGTCCCGGGTGATCTGCAAGCCAAGGTAGCTACGCAGCTCACCCAGGTCAGTGCAGGTGTGTCTCTTCTGCAGCTCCGACTTCACACGAGCGAGTGCCTCAGTGTCAGCAGTAGCAAAGACCAAGTCTGTGCGCAGAAACAGCGACGGGTCAGCAGTAGACGGCGCGAACCCAAGAGCCGCAAGTGTAGTCCTCAGTGTGTCGTGCCACTCGCGTGGCGCCTGGCGGAGACCGTAGACTGGTCGGCGGAGGCTCCACTGGGTACCAGGAGGAAACGACCCAGTAAAGCCAGGTGGGCGGCGCAGCCAGATCTCCTCGTGCAGGCTGCCCTGCAGGAACGCTGTACTGAAGTCAAGAGAGTGAAGCTCGTAGTCACGCTGAGCAGCAACGTGCAGCAGAACCCGAAGAGTGGTCATCTTCGGGGTGGGGGAGAAGGTCTGGAAGAAGTCGACCCCCTGACGCTGACTGAAGCCTCTAGCAACGTAACGAGCCTTGAAGACAGGCGGAGAACCTGGCGGCCGCTTCACCCTGAAAATCCACATGCCATCGACGATGTTCGCCCCAGGAGGGGGAACCTCGTCGACGTAGGTGCCTGTGGACTTCCAGGATGCCATCTCTGCGTCCATGGCTGTCTGCCACTGAGAGGAGTAGGGACCCGAGATCGCCTCTGCGTAAGTGCGCGGAGTGGGGATGTCTAGTGCATCCGGGTCTCCCTCAGGGGCAAGCAACCAGGCCACGAGATGAGGTACAGCAGCCGCGAGAGAGTCAAAGTCCTCCTGCCTGTCCTCAAGGACGTCTGTGCCAAGAGCACACTCACCCCCGACGGACGGAGGGCAGACAGACTCAGACTCAGACCCAGCAACAAGGCGAGCAGCGTAGTCTAGACGACAGGCAGCAGCAAAGTCAACCAACTCAGCGACCAGAGCAGACGCAGCCGAGGACTCAAAGGTAGGGTCAGTGACAACAGTAGCTAGGAGACGCGTGACAGTAGGGTGCTCAGCACGATACCGGTCAGACTCAGGGTCCGGAACAGCAGGCAAAGAGGACGCAGGAGGAGACGGCAGAGGGACACGCTGAGGAGCAGTAGAGGGACGCAGAGTCATGTAGTGAGTGCCTGGGACAGGAGGAGGACGCTCACGACGGACACGACGACCAGTGCGAGCAGTACGGACAGGCGACGCAGGACGAGACTCAGGCTCACGACGCTCTGTAAGACCTCCTGTGGGACCAGTGTAAGGAGAGGGAGCAGGGAGAGGCGAGGCAGGCGGTAACTGTGACTGCGGCTGGACAGTCGGAGGACACTCTACGGAGGGAGGAGGACAAGGAGGAGGAGCCTGCCCAAGAACCTGCTGAAGGAGCGGTACGAAGTACGGCCGCGGCCGCGCAGCGTCTCCAGAAGCAGAAGAGACTCCAGCGTCCGGGTCCCCAGCACCAGCAGCAGCGCCACCGCTCGGGTCCTCAGCTCCAGCAGCAGCTCCACCAGGTGGGTCCGCAGCACCAGCAGCAGCACCACCCCCAGGGTCCGCAGCACCGCAAGGAAGAGCACCCCCAGAGTCGGCAGCTACAACTCCGCTAGCGCCGCCAGCTCCAGAGTCCCCAGCTCCAGCAGCTCCAGTCGTAGTGCTCCCAGAACAACCAGTCCCGGCAGCTCCAGTACCCCCAGCTCCAGCCGAGCCACTAGGACGGCGAAAGCGCCGGACGTACCAGTCACGAAGCTGCTGTGGTGTGAGAGACTGCTCAGCACCCCGAACCGGAGCACCCCCAGACGCAGCAACCCGAGGCTCCGTAGGCTCAGTAGCAGCACCCCCAGGCTCAGTACCCGCAGGCGCAGCACCCCCAGACTCAGCACCCCCAGACTCCGCACACGCCGGCTCAGCACCCCCAGTCGCAGCACCCCCAGGCTCAGCACCCCCAGGCGCCGAACTCTCAGGCACAGTACCCTCAGCTCCAGCACCCGTAGTCCCAGCACCCCCAGGCCCAGCACCCGCAGGCTCAGCACTCCCAGCAGCACCACCTGCAGCAGCACCTGAGTCACCTGTGACCTCGACAGGCTCAGCGACGGGAGGAGGGTCTACCTGAGAGACACCTGAAGGAGCAGGACCCTGAGGGGGGAGGGGGTCTACCGGAGGGGGACCAGGAGCAAGGAAAAGCGGCGGGGGAGGGAGGGGGGCAGTACGGTAGGGGAAGAGACGGTAAAAAGGGACCGACTCGTCAAAGGTGACGTCCTGAGAGGCGAAGACCCGGCGCGAGGTGGGGTGGTAAAACTGCCAGCCCGGCGCGTCAGGGACAAAGCCAAGGAAGACACAGGGAAGCGTGCGGGAGGAGAGCTTGTCCGCGGACGTATCGCGGACAAGGGCACGAGCACCCCACACCCGGAAGCGCGACGCATCGCCAACCTCCCCCGTCCAACGCAGTGTGGGCGAGGTCTCCGGCAAGGAGACACGGGGCCAGAGGTTGAGCTGATGCGCGGCGTACCGGACAGCAAACGGCCACAGAAAATGGGGAGCCGCCACGAGACCAAGGAGGTACGAGCGACCTCCATGACCAGGCCAATGCGGCGCTCAGCAACCCCATTCTGCTGTGGGGAGTCCGGAAGCGTGAAGGTCTGCTCGATGCCCTCCGCCTGACAGAAGGTCCTCAAGAGATCGGAGGAAAACTCACCACCTCTGTCAGAGTGCAGACGCAGGACAGGAAGATCCGTCCGGAAACGGCGGCGGAGCTGGAGAC